AGGCAGCAGCAGCAGCTCACTGTGACAACTGAAGCAAAGCGACAGAAACAAAACAAAACCACAACGCACGGGCCACCATTTCCTTAAGGCGGGCGCATTCGCTGCGCTGTCTAATGGCGCCCAACGCGTTCGGCTCGGAAGCAGTCAACACTTGTTGCTGTTGCTGCTGCTGCTGGTAAGAACATGCTTTCACTACGCTCTCACTTTCACCGACAATCTGACTGTCTCTGTGCCTTTTGTCTCAGCGTTACTGTTCCAGCAGTGAAGGGGCTGACAGTCAAATCATGAGACAGGAGTCGTTGTCAAGTGTGTGTCTGTGTGTATGCGCGTGTAGCAAATGAGTGTCGCCGAACGGTGGCAGCGAACAGTTGTCTAATGCGATAATTGCCCGGATTGTTTTAGGCCACTAATCACAGTTTGAGAGAAGGAGAGAAAAAGAGAGAAAGTGATCAGCAATTGCACGTGTCGCACATGTGAGCGACATTTGTTTCAAAACACAGCGTGTCGTCGGTTTTTGTGACTTGTACTACTACTCGATAAGCACTCACAATTTTTGGTGGCCGTCCATCTGACCGCAAATTATTCAACTTGTGAAAGCTCTCATAACCAGTGTCATTTGCCTTTTATTTGCATTCCCCTCTTTTTCCCTTTACAATTCAGCTGCCAGAAACGCATCGAAAGACGATGACCAAGCAGTGCAGCTGNATTTCAAAACACAGCGTGTCGTCGGTTTTTGTGACTTGTACTACTACTCGATAAACACTCACAATTTTTGGTGGCCGTCCATCTGACCGCAAATTATTCAACTTGNTAAAACACAGCGTGTCGTCGGTTTTTGCGACTTGTACTACTACTCGATAAGCACTCACAATTTTTGGTGGCCGTCCATCTGACCGCAAATTATTTAACTTGTGAAAGCTCTCATAACCAGTGTCATTTGCCTTTTATTTGCATTCCCCTCTTTTTCCCTTTACAATTCAGCTGCCAGAAACGCATCGAAAGACGATGACCAAGCAGTGCAGCTGTACAATGAGTCGCTGGAGTACTTTGAGGCGGTTCAGGCGGCGGTCAACTCTGCCGGCCACATGAAGAACAGGGCAGCCCGTCTGCGAGAAGCATTGGGAACGCTGCCCAACTCGACCATTGAAGAGCAGCTGACGCAGCAGCAGCACAAGCGAGTGAAGCGGAGCGTCCTCGATCTGGCCTCCATGATCAAGTGCATCACCGGCTGCAATCCGTGGAGCTACAAGGACTACGGTTGCTACTGCGGCTTTCAGGGGGATGGCTACCCGGTGGATGGCATTGACAGGTAGAAGGGAGAAAAATANGTGCTACTGCGGCTTCCAAGGGGATGGCTACCCGGTGGATGGCATTGACAGGTAGAAGGGAGAGAAATANGGCACTGGGAACGCTGCCCAACTCGACCATTGAAGAGCAGCTGACGCAGCAGCAGCACCAGCGAGTGAAGCGGAGCGTCCTCGACCTGGCCTCCATGATCAAGTGCATCACCGGCTGCAATCCGTGGAGCTACAAGGACTACGGTTGCTACTGCGGCTTTCAGGGGGATGGCTACCCGGTGGATGGCATTGACAGGTAGAAGGGAGAAAAATAGGAAAACACCTACAAAAAACTAACCAATTTTTCCTTACAGATGCTGCTACATGCACGACAACTGCTACTCGGCGGTGGACTGCCACCAGGCGATGGTCTACTTCAAGCCGTACAAGTGGGGCTGCATGAGCTACGGACGTGCCAAATGCGGTAATGCATATTTCATAAGTTCTCTAAACATTTTCAATCCTTAATAATTAAATCAATTCAATATACTTTCAGCAACGGTCAGCGGTTCCCTGTGCGGCATTCAACTGTGTGAATGTGACCGCAAATTCGCCAAATGCCTCAGTCGATTTCGGTGTCCGAAGAGCAAGGCCAGCTGTGACATCACCAAGAACATCAACTTCGTCATCGGCAAGTGAATATCACCACTAGTGCTCGCACAAGTGCACACAAGCACAAGCACACTGTCAATCAAGTTGGGTGCAAGCGTGTGTGCGGCTATCTCTCCGCCTGCAGCCGCACACATCAAGTGATCTCTCCTCATCATTCGAACCCCCTTTTTCGCCTATTTATTACCTTCATCATCAACAACCTTCCTCACCCCCTCACACACCATCATGTATACTTCTTTTGATTCAAAAGAAAGCAATAAAAAAAGACATATTTATTGAAAACGATTCGGATAAAAAAGGTATTGCTAGCAACTGCTGGTGCACTACTAGAGCACCTGCACGCCGCCCATGATGTTCACCGGTCGATTGCTGTACTTTGCTGAGATGCTCTCCTCAATCTGTGAAACATGGTAAAACGTAAACGGTCATCAGTTAAAAACAACAACTCCACAAACTATCTGACAACAACTGACCCGTTGCTGGAGCGCCTTNTCACACACCATCATGTATACTTCTTTTGATTCAAAAGAAAGCAATAAAAAAGACATATTTATTGAAAACGATTCGGATAAAAAAGGTATTGCTAGCAACTGCTGGTGCACTACTAGAGCACCTGCACGCCGCCCATGATGTTCACCGGTCGATTGCTGTACTTTGCTGAGATGCTCTCCTCAATCTGTGAAACATGGTAAAACGTAAACGGTCATCAGTTAAAAACAACAACTCCACAAACTATCTGACAACAACTGACCCGTTGCTGGAGCGCCTTGGTGAACTGAATCAGCGCGGCCGTTTGCGGCCCCACAGCGGCGAGTTCAGTGAGCAGGCTGGAGCGCTTACTCTCTCCATCGGCCGCCCGCTCCATGGCCTTCTCCGAGAGCGCCTGCAGGTGGCTCAACTTTTTGTAGACATTGTCAATGTACCTGGGAAAGGAATGCAAATGCGCGTGCAAAGGTATAGTAAAGATAAAAACAAAAACTGCAAAAAAGTTTGCGACATTGCCTCTGAAAAGAGGAGAAAGTGTGGGAAAACCAGGAGGGGAGCAAGGCGCCGCCGGGTAATAAACGATGGGAAAACACTCAAAAGACACACTTACTTTGGACTGTCCTTCATGTAGTAGAGGACCTTGAGGGAAGCGACCTCAAACGCCTGGCGAATGGCCACCACCTGGGCAAGCATCTCCCGGACACCGTCCGCCGTGGTCAGCTGCAGGACGCTGGGCGCCGACTGAAAGAGGTGCGAGGAGAGCATGTGCTCCGTCTTCATCTCCTGCAGGCGCTCACTCAGAAAGCTTTCCACCTGAAGGAAAGATAGATAGAGTTTAGGTGCTGCCTGAATTGATTGAGTGCCCAATTCAAGCACACTGACCTCAATCAGCTCATTGATGAATCGATTGCGATACTGACTGCACAGGAGAAGCGACTGGGCCTCCTCGCCCCTGGCCACCTTGCTGCCACCAGCGTTGTTGGGCTCATCGAGGGCTTTGCTGAGCAGCTGAGCGCTGCCATTGGCAATGCCATTGCCATTGACCTCGACCGTCTCCTCGCCAATGTCCCAGTTGATCTCACTCTCCGCCGACAGCTCGTCCTTGTCCAGCTTCACAAAGTCGCCATTGCTGGTGGAGGGCGTGTCGGTGCTGGCGTTGTCATCGCCAAAGTCGATGCCGTCACCAAAGTCAATCTAATGGTAGATTCAGAAAGTCATCTTACAAAAAACTTTTTCGAAAATAATCTCTGCATACCCCGCCGTCTTCGTCCGTCTCCGCCTTGCTCGACGGCTGGTCATGATCTGAGCCGAGGTCAGCAATCAACGAGTTCAGCCTGAACTCCTCCACACTGTCCGGAGTTGTACCGGTTTTGTACTCGAAGACAGTGGTGTTGCCCTTGGCGAGCAGATAGTGCAACAAGGGCAGGCACTCAATACCGCTAATAGCCGCGACAACAAGAAAATGATTATGCTAATATAAAGAGCAGTTCAAGCAAAACAAAACAACATACCTTTGTGAGATGAAAAAGACAAAGGTTTTGTAGTAATTGCACACGGGGATAAGTGTTTGCAGCTGTTCAGAGAGCTCGTTTAGCTTTTTTGGGAGAATTTCCAGTTGGGCAACAAGTTCAGCTTTGATATTAACACCCTTTTTAGATAACATATAACATAAAGTTAAAGAAAGCTTGAACAAAAATTGTATCAAAAGCACGTACCTCAATTCCCATTTTTTTCGTGCTTGAGGAAAATTCATTCTGATAGTTTTTCGACTGCTTTTTACACAGTTCAATTGACCTTTCGGTATCAGAGATTTGTTGCTCATATTTGGCGGCTAGCTTCTTCAGTGAAGGAACCTCGTAGTTGACATTTCGAATAAGATTCTGAGCGTCTTCAGCTGTAAAGTACAATTTTCAGATATGAAGCTCAAGTGAATTGAAAAAGATCATACCGAGGTAGACATTATCCTTTTCGTAGAGTTTGACAATTTCCTGCCAGTCTAGCAGCCTCTTTGAAGTGTACTGGCCAAAAATGTTTTTTGAGTCTTTATCGGTCTTCTTAAGTATCTCCACTATCCGCTTGCACACGTAGTAGTCAAAAACTGAAAAACACAGAAAAAACATTGATCAGACCTTGCTGACACGTAAGCATCTGCGATCACTAACCATTTTCTTTGAGCAGCTGAATCACCTCATCAATCTGAGGCATGTCCTGAATAGCCAGCTTAACCTTGACTCGTATCAAGTCCAGACTTTTCTGAAAGTCCTTCTTGCAGTGTCGCCGACTTATAAGCCAATCTGTCAAAAAAAAGTTGCACAGTGATCAACAATGAAATGAAATGAATCAGTGCTGGCCGGAAACAAGCAGCTTACCGAGCAGTTTATTGGTGTGAATATCAATTGGAAGAGTGGAATCGGCCATGGTCTACCTTGTTTTGCTGATGGTGGTCCAAATGGAATGGAAACAGTGATATGATCAGCAAGTGGCAGTCGTCGTGGTTTTCCTCTTCGCCGTCGTACACAAGTTTTGTTGTCGTCGTGTCGTCCAGCTGTGAAGCTGCAGCAGCAGTTCCAGCACATGTCTGGGCAATCTTTCCGAAGCAGACGCACGTGTATTTTTGTCAGCTGTGGAGTGGCTCTGTTTTTATTAGTTTTTGAAGTTTTATTTTATTTTGGATCAATCAGTTCATCATCATGGTCCGGAAACTGCGCTTTCACGAGCAGAAGCTCCTGAGAAAGGTCAACTTTATTCAATGGGAGCCGAACAATCTGAACGAGCTGCGAATGATGAAGAAGTACGGTGTCGACCGCAATGAATACGCCAAGTATGTTGGGTGACAGGAGTTATAGTTTACCTTTGACTTTCATTTTCAATCTTCAATTTTCAGGTACCACAAAATGTGCTCGGAAACGCGTAAGGTAGCCGAGAAGCTGTCCACTCTGGAAACGGACGACTCATTTCGAAATGAGTGCACGGCTCAGCTGCTGGAGAAGCTCTACTCGATGGGCATCATCAACACGAAACGGCTGAAGCACTGCAAAGAGGTTTCAGTCAGTAGCTTCTGCAGACGGCGGCTGCCCGTCTTCATGAAGAAGTCCGGCATGTTCAATGGACCACTGGAAGTGGCTGGTAAGTCCAATATGACCACAACTCAACACTGCTCGATTCTAATACGCTCACAACACTCACACAGTGAAATACGTCAAACACGGCCACGTCCGCGTCGGTCCTCATGTGGTCTACGATCCGGCCTTCCTCGTCACCCGCGACCAGGAGGACTTTATCGCCTGGACGGACAAGTTCCGAGAGAACATTGACACGTACAATGAGAAGCGTGACGACTACAAGGACTAGCGTGCGGTGGTGGCTGTGTGATTCTCAACCTTTTTTTGTAAATAAAAATAAAGTCTTTATTTATTCCCCATTCAGCACTCACTCTAGCAGCTGAAACTGCTCGCTGTTGTTGTAATCGGAGACGTCGAGGGCGACGATGGCCGACTCACGTACCACTCGCGCCTCGTCGGAGAGATAGTCCTTGAGGATGTTATTGGCCTTATCGGTGGCGATGGCGCCCAGCGCTTCGGCGCACTCGTGTCGCACCATTTCATTCTCCGTCTTCTGCGCCAGCACCTCCGCCAGCTTGTCCGTGGTGACGGGCTTCTGCATCTGACCGAGGACGAAGGCAATCTCGTGGCGAAAGAGGGCCGAGTCGGGGCAGTCGAGACCGTTGGCCAGTGCCATGGCCGACTCGTCAGAGTTGATATTGCGAAGGGTGAACATGGCCTGGTATCGCTTGAACAGCGACTCCTTCTCGTCCACCAGAATCTGGCCAAGCTTTTCAATCTCCACAGAATCGACCTCCTTCTCTTCAAGCGGCGGAGCAGGATCCACCGAGCTGTAGATAGACGATTCACGACCGTCGCCGCCGTTTGCATTTCCCTTAAGGTGATTGATTCGGTTCACCGCGAGGACCACCGTCTCTGCCACGTCTTTGCACGGGTCATTTTGGAATTTCTGTCAAACATAGGTGCAAAAATTAGCTTCACAAAAAGAAATAAAAACAAAAAAAGTTTACCAGTAGGATATTCAAACACTGGTCAGTGCCGATGGCGCCCAGTGCCTCTCCGGCTTCATGTCGCACCATCGGATGTTCGCTGGTGTTGGCAAGCACCGTTTCCAGCGTGGCAATCGCATGGCTGTCCTGCATCTGCCCCAGACAGTAGGCGCACTCGTGCTTCAGCAGGGCAGACTCGTCCTTGACTAGGGCCTCGCAGATGTGGTCAATCGCCGCCTTGCCGGCGACATTCTTCAACGTAAACAGCGCCCGAAACCGGGCGCCCATCGGCTGCCTGTCGTCCTTCAGCAGGCTGCCCACTGAATCGATCTGCTTGCTGGTCAGGGTCCGGGTAGTAGTTGTGGTCATGATTACAGGTGGTGAACGATGCTAAATGCCAGGTAGAAGCCGGTGATAAAAATGAAACAAATGAATCAAAATCAAATGAACACACACGTGAGATGCAATGTTTGTTGTCTGTCACGTGACTCGCAGCAGGCGAGGGCGCTTCATTGAGGATGTTCTGCAGCAGAAATGGACTTCATATATAAAAGGTATATAATAATATAAAAGGTGTTTATTGAATTTTAGAGCAGTAAAAGAAACAGTGGGAGAATCATTAGGCAACACACAAAGAGAGAGAGAAAGAGAGAGGGCAGATAAAAGAGAGAGAGAGAAAAGTTTAGTTCTTTCCAGCTGAATCCTTCAGCGACACGGTCCGGTTAAAGACGAGCTTGCCGATGCGCGAGTCAGTGTCGACGCTGAAGAAGCCGACTCGTTCAAACTGAAACTGCTGAAAAGGCTGAGCGTACTTCACCGACACGTCTACCAGGGCGTTGGTCAGTGTCGTCTTCGAGTCGAGGTTGCAGTCGGAGAGAAAACCGCCGGGCACCTCATTTGGATCTTCCGGGTTCTTGTGGTTGAAAAGGCGCTCGTAGAGACGCACCTCCACCGTCAGCGGCACCGAGACCCAGTGGATGAAGGCCTTGGGCTTCGTTTTCAGCGACTCAATCGGGTGGCGAATCACCTCGAGGTGGTCAATCTCCCCGGTGGCCGGGTCGCGGACCACCTCCTTCAGCTCAATGGCGTAGCCAGCGTGGCGCAGGCCAACGATCTGCTTTGGCGTCAGTCGGCGAAAGTTGCTGTCGGTGGTGTCCTCCTTAAAGTCCTCCCGCTCAATGAAGATCTCCTTCTCCAGGGGGACCATGTGCTTGGCAGAGTTGGCCGGATCCGAGGGAAAGTCGGGAATCTCAATGTACGTGGGCGTGATCTGGTTGGCCATGTTGGTGATCAGCACTCGAATCGGCGAGAGGACGGCCATGGCGCGCGGAGCGGTCACGTTGAGGACGTCGCGCACCGAGGCCTCCAGCATGGCCGGGTCGACCACCGCCGAGGCCACGGTCAGGCCCATCAGCGCGCAGAAGTTGTTGATGGCGAGGGAGGGGAAGCCTCGGCGGCGCAGGGCGGTCAGCGTGAAGAGGCGAGGGTCGTCCCAGTCGTCGACGATGCGCTCGCTGATCAGCTTGGCGATCTTTCGCTTCGACACGACGGTGTAGTTCACATTGAGGCGACTGTACTCCCATTGCACCGGGCAGTACACGTCCAGTGAGTTGCAGAGCCAGTAGTAGGCGGAGCGGCGGGTCTGGAACTCCTTGGTGCACAGCGAGTGGGTGATGTTCTCCAACGAGTCGACCAGGCAGTGCGTAAAGTCGTAAGTAGGGTAGATGCACCACTTGTTGCCGGTGCGGTGGTGGGCGGCCATTTTGATGCGGTACGCCACCGGGTCCTGCTTGCCCTCCTCCAGGGTGATCTTCATGCGCAGCGTCGCCTCGCCCTCCGCCAGCTTGCCGCTCTTCATCGCCTCAAAAAGCGCCAAGCTCTCCTCGATGGGCCGAGTGCGCCACGGCGACGGCGGCGGATTGAAGCCCTTTAGCTCCTCCGGGCGCTGGTGGCAGATGTAGGCCAGGTCCTTCTTGATCAGCGTCACCGCAAAGGCGTACAGCTCGTCAAAATAGTCCGAGGAGTAGGTGATCTTGTAGGGCTTGTAGCCGAGCCACTCCACCATGTCCTTGATGCCCACCACAAAGCGCTCCTCCTCCTTCTCGGGGTTGGTGTCGTCGTAGCGCAGGTAGCAGTGGCCATCATTGGCTTGTGCGTAGCCGAAGTTGATGTTGATCGCCTTGGCGTGGCCAATGTGCAGAA